TACGATGAAGATTTATTGAATTTTCAAAAACTCGTCACCAAACAAGCCTCCAAATCACATCCAAAATCGATTCATCCTTAGATCACAACACAATCATCTTTACACCTAATATTATCACAAGTTATAGTTACTGTAAAACACGCATAATAAATGTAGTTCACCTGAATTAATCCAGGGAATAAAATTGTCATATTGAACGACAGCTCACACTTGTCATCTAGAACTAAAATCGATACAAAAATTAGTGATTTAAACGGCATCATCCTTTCATCCTGTCATATCATAAACAGTCTGTCGTAAACATGTACACATGTATTTGCTATTTTATTTAAAACTGCGAAATAGTTTATTATGAGTCAGCTTTAATTTCACAAGAAGTAGATACTGTTGAATATAAGTTCAAATATAAACTATTGATTTTTTTCGGTTCACTGTTCACTAAGATAATTTCGAGATCGACCACCTGGTCATCGACATTTTTTACAATTGTTTTTTCCTGTGGTCTGGAGGTTAATCGTTCACAAACGAGACCGAAGGCCCTAGGTTCGAGTTTCGCGTGTGGAATTGTGGATGCACATTCTTGAGGAGTCCCATACTAGGATAAGTCGGCTATCTAATGCTTCCAGGTTTTCAATGATGGTCTAGCGTAGATTGACTCATGAATTAACTTCTATGAGATAAAGTAATATTACGTCATTGCCCAATACAAATAAACTGAAGGAAAAGTTAAATGTTTGATTTGGTGACTTAAAACTGAATGTTTTCAAAACTGATTCATCATTTCACTCGACTACTCGACAAATTCATTAAAACTAGTTAAACATTTATTGATATCTATAAGAATCTAGTCCGAATAGACAAGCTTAGTAGTTAGAGGGTTTGGGAAGACTACTGTAAACAAAATGAAATCATTATCCTTTTTTATTAAACAAGATATTTTTTTATCTATTGATAGTACATAATTTATGTTAAGTTTTTCGGAATGTAAACAAAGTCCATTGGTGAATTTTTTAATAGTTTATATCATGAGTCAATTGAAGCTAGACCACCGAGGAAAACCTGAAAGCACTGGATGACCGTTTCGTCCTATTATGGGACACCTAAGGAGTGCGCATCCACGATCCCGCACTCGCGAGATTCGAACTCAGGAACTGCCAGTCTCTCGCCAGAGCCCTTAACCGATAGACCACCGAGCTGGCCGGCATCCAACGATGTTAATGTCTAACTTCAATTTTTTTAAAGTAAAATTGTGTATACATGTGATTGTGTACTTTTCCAGTAATCTGGACCCAAAAATAAATAAACAAATTTCGATAACAATGTGATATAACAAAGTAGGCAAACACAATATTGACGATCTGGGTTGTGTTTTTTTAATTTAACCATAATGCTGTTTGGCTGACATGTTTGCCAAGGTAACCAAATGTTTCGGAATGACAAAGAACAGACTAATGAATGAATATTTATTGTCTATATGAGTTAGAAATATTTATTATTGTAATATTAATACAAGCTAAGTATAAACATGTTGTGGGAAGTTATGACAGAATTCAGTTAGATTTATAATATATAGTTTGTTCTTTGGTTAATTAAGCAATAGAATTAATAATATGAGGTTTATGTAAACAACCGAACTTCATGGTTTTATAATACGCATTGATGTTAACTAATCAATTACTGTATATCAGGGAATCATTAAAATTCATTAGTTTTTACAAACTCCTAATAGTCGTAGTAATTATGTGTCCAATAGTGATTAATTTCAGGAATTCTACCGGGAAGTCATGACCAGTAGACTTCAACGATCTAGAGTATGACACAATTGTCCATTAATGACGTTGAAAGATGGCTACCCAGTTTTGTCAACTAATTGAAGTTAAACCTTAAAGGTCTTGGGTTCCGTCGTATGTGCAGACTTCTGAAGAGTCTTAAACTAAGACGAAACAACTAACCACTGCTTTCAGGTTACCATTGGTCATTTAATTAAGATCAGTTTGTTATATGACCTGTGAAATTTAATATTCTCCACAACTCTCTTCTTCCGTTATATGGTGCTATTCTCTTATTATTGAACTTTATTGTATTTGTCAAAGGAACAACCTTCATTGACACGCTTTTAATAGATTGTTATTTCTCAATACATTTGAAATTATTGTGTAACCGACATTAAGTACTCGAGTACTTTTGATCATTTTGATCTCGATCTTCTTTTGTCATCGTCGGTAGCGCTATCTCGAAGTCCATTACTATGACTAAATTCCTGTTCATTCCTTCCTAGTTTTAAAAAGTAGTCTAACTTCGGCTGGTTCTTGATTTCAAAAATACTTAATAATTCCCACAAATCTCCTAGATGTATGGTTTTTCACTTTATCGGCTAACTGAAATACTTGTGACTTGAGTAAACGAAACCGAAATTATTATTGGCATTGCAACAATCAGTGTTTTGTAGTCTAGCAAAAAGGTAGTTTGGAAAATTTATATGAATGTTTATAAACCAAGCTAATATACAACTTCACAGAGCCGTTGGTTATTGAAACCTTCTATATCTATACTTACTTAATTTTTGCTTAGAGTTTACTACTTAATCAATGATTCTCAAACTGTTACATGCTTCAACACCTACACTGGTGATGGTGAATCCATTATCCGTACTCCGAATTCTATACACTTTATTCGAAGTGTTCTGATCACGAATGACATTATTGTGTTACATCATCGTAAAGCGCATTAAGCTGAGGCAATGAATATTTTTTCCCAAACCATTAGCTGTTTATGACTAACGTAGTTGATAATTCATTTTCGTATTGGTTGTTTGAATTTTGCCATTGATGTTTAGGACTGCAACTGATAAGTCTCTTATTAGCATATGTGCATCCTGTGCAGATTGTCTCGATATTACTTTGGATCACAAGCATTATAAGCAGAGTTGACTGGTGACTAGTAGTAGTGTCTAGGGCGCTCATTTCGTCCTATTTAGGACTGGACATCAGAATTGAAAATGTCTCATTTATTTCTACATTTTATAAAAGTCTGGGAATCGTTCATTTCTTTTGACCTATTTTGAATGATATTTTGATTGTATGACATTACTTTATAATGAGAATAGATAACAGCAAAAATAATTGAAGAATGTGTAGTATAAGAATGAGATTAAAACAGCTTCATTGAATTTCCAACTAGTGTTTAGTTAATCACAAAACACCTTTCATTAATCGACAATTTATAGAAAATAGAGTATTAGTACTAAGTATAAACTGATTTTTCACAACTAATAAGTCAATCAATGTCTTCTATATATTACTGTCTGTCAGTCGGAAAACAATCATCTTTTTGTCAGTAATGTTAAGAACTGGTAGATCGTAGGTTCCAAATTCGTTTCATTTACTACTGTTATGTAAACCGGTTATAATCACTAAACCTCAAAATCCGGAAAAAAATAGTAGAAACGTGTACATATTAAATCTGTTACGTCGAATTGATTTCAATTACAAAATATTGAATATCAAAAGTGTACTGAGGAAACAACTTTGTCGTCCCATCAAATCTCTGAGGCTTTTACAAAAAGAACTAATTATTTAAAATCCTTTAAAAGGACGATTTCTTTTCCAAGGTCAAGTTGTTTGTGTTTGTTTGAACTCATTAGTTAAATTCAATATCTTTTTAGATAGTTTATTATGTTTAAATACAAATTATGTTTCAGACATACATATAGATAAAATATCGGGATTATTTTGTTCTTTATGATGTTTATACTTGAACACCCTACTAAGGTGTCAGGGATACTTGGTCATTAATAATAATAGTAGTGTTTTTATTAAAGCATATCGTTTACAATAACTTTGAGAGTGTTTTTGGAACGCTCTCGTTCAATAATTTTATCGACTTATATCTCTTATAACGTATATTTATTTGCAGTAGGCAGTTGGATGTAGTTGGTAGAAAATTCTGTCAGCTGGCATTCGCTGACAAGCTGAATCGGTAATCTTAAGGGACTTAATAAATATCTAAAATATTTCACAAACAAAACGATACTTACTATTTTAATGATCAATTCATTTTTAGAGTTTAATTAAATAACTTAATATTACTGTCATTAAAAGTGTAAAACGTTAGAAACTTACCTCACCTACCTCGGCTTAGTTAACCAATTTGTATCATCGGGCCTCACATTTTCAGAATGACTCAAACTCAAATAACTATCAACAGCTCAGTGTCATTTCAGTAAATAAATAAATCTGCACAACTGTGATGGATTTTAAATCATCCTACACAGTGTCCTTAATATTTGATTATAGTAAATGTACAGATCAATGATATGTAGTCGATACTAGAGTGTGAAACATCTATATAATATTAGGCTTTTCCTAATCAGATTTAGTAAAATGAAAATTGTAATTTTTAATAAGAATGAAAAGGGTACCAGAATAGTTACAATACTGTCTCTAATTGACCTAGTGTGACTGAAGGTGAGGAGTGTCCGCCCTCCCTCTCAAAATGCTCTTATATGGCCACGCGTATATAGCCCCTACCAGGAAAGTTCTACTTAGTACTTTCTCGTGATGCTTGTATTATTTACGAACTGCTAATGATCGGTGCTTAAACCGGGTTGGTAAGTACGGAGGACACACTTAAAGGAATTGCAAAACCCTGAATCCAAATATTGTACATGGGTTACAGGATCCTTAGAGGAATAACTGATATATAACCTATTGTTGGTCAATGGTACCGCACTTACTAACGTTGTTCCACTGTCATATAAATTAAACCTCTATGTGAAAAGGATAGGGAGTGAGGCTCTAAGAAAACCACTTGTTTCGGTTTAGACACTCGGATAGTATCCTAGAGCCCACAAGAATTCATTGATCAATGTGGCGCATATATATTTTAATGACCCTTTTTACATATGTTCATTTATTTAAATAAATAAATAATAAAGTTAAAATTGTACATCCTGACTGAACTAACTTTCTCCATTTTTACTTTTTCTCCAAACATTTTAGTGTGATTCAGCTGGTCCAAGTCCTTTGGCTATGTTAGCTCGTACTTGTCAAAATATTGGTAACATAATGGATTGTGGAAATTCTTCTAACAGATTTTTATCATCTAATTCAAATTCTATACGAAAACAATCAACTGTCAGTTCAATTCCTGTCACAAATGGTAGAATTATCAGTAGTAGTAATAATAACAGTAATAATAGTAATATTACAAAATCAAATAAGCCAAAAGCAATGAATTTAAATGAAGTAATATCATCGTCTTTTAATAGGCGAAATACAACCTCAAAATACTTATCTTCAAATGATACATCCAGGTTGAACTTTTCCAATACTGCTGGAGGTGCAGGTACTGATCTAAATAATTCTGTTACTAATACTACCGGTAAAACAACTCGTAATAATAATACTAATACTACTACTAATAATAATAATGACTCAGTAGTCAGTTCATTAACATTAAATCATAATACTACTAGACAACTATCCCCTATTTCTATACCATCCACTTTATTTTCACAAGTTAATACAACAAAAACTGAATCTAATTTAACATTTAACAATCACTTCCTTAAATCTGATGATTTACATCAAACATCTAATGCTCTTGCTCAATTAGCTCGTTTATCATCAAGTTTTTCATTGCCTGAAACACCAAAATTAAATTTTACATGTTTTAAAAATTCTAATAATGTAATGAACAATCGAAATGTATGGAATGATATTAGAAATAGTACTGATACTACTACTACTAATAATAATAATAATACACAACACGATCCAAATTCATTGAAACGAATCAAACGACGTACCAATTCAAATTCTAAATTCTCCAATACATCAGATGAATGTCATTCACCACCTTCAGCTAAAAGAAGTACAAAAGATAATCATTTATCATTCTTTATGCATTCAATGAATAATTATACCAATAGTCATGATTCTACTCATTCAAATGATACTACTAATATGAGTATCTCATCTAATATGACAACTAATATTATGAATAATCGTACACAATCCCCTAATTGTACTACCTTCTTGTCAACTAATGAACCATCATTTGAATATAAAGAAACTGGAAGTATCATAACAAATAAAGATACACAAGAAAAATTCTCTTATCAATTAGCTCGTAGTTTTTTAGATTTTTTCTATGGAAAATTAGTTAATTCTATAAATTCTGATTCCAATAATTTTTCTTCTACAACAACAAATACTACTCATAATACTACTAATAATACTACTACTAATACAACTACTAATAATATCCTCAATAACAATAATAATCATACATTATTCAAAGAAGATCAGAATGAATCTATAAATCCTTTATGTTTAAATAATGAACGACGAACATTAGAATGGTTAACTAATACAAATCTAATACATCGACAACAAACAATGGAACAATTGGATTCTACAATGAATCATACTATTCCAACATTAACAAATACATTTCCTTGTTTATTATGTGGTCAAATATTTCATGGTCATACAGAATTATGCATGCATGTATATGCACATTTATTAGCATTCAATATACAAGAATCCAAAAAATCCAATCCTATAGAAGATCATTTGAGATTATTACATGGTGAAACAAATCCATTTCAAAATAATAGATCAAATGGTTTATTAACTGGATCTAAAAATGATCATTCATTTATGCCTTCCTTTTTTCCACCCCCACCATCACAACTATCTAGATCTGCTTTGACAACAACAACAACAACACCAACAACAATCAATGCTTCAACTACTTTATGTTCTGTAAATTATAATAATAATAATACACAATCTCATTCAATAACTGATGCAAATCATTCATTTAATCCTTCAGATTTATTTCAATCATATTTATCTCAATGGTTTCGTAATTTTTCTAGTCCTCATTCAAATAATCAATTAAATGATATGATCAATCATAATCCTTCATCAAATCTACCATGGATATCATCAGATACTTCAATAATGAATAAATCAATGGATTATAAAACTTGGCAAAATGTTTTAACAGCAGCTTATTTATATTCATTGAAAGAAACCACAACAACAGGAACAATAGGAGGACAAACTCCAACGTCAATGACAAATCCTAATTTTTTAACATCTATTCCTTTACAAAATTCATTACATAGAAATGAAAATTCTAATTATTATGATATATTTTTTGGTTCAAAGCCTTACATAACACCATTTCCTCAAAGTTAACAATGTATAAAACTATCAAATACAATAACTATAAATACATATATAAATACCTACCTTTATTTAATTTGTTCATTTCAACTATTCTCTTTTATTCCAATATAGTTCTCTTTGAATTTCTGCCCTCCCCCCCCTTTTTTTTTCGTCAGTGATAATAATAAGCAAAGTAAATGAAATGTCGATTAGACATGTTTCAATAATCAATATTGAAAGTGGAAAACAAAAAACAATCAAATAAACAAAATCTGTGATTTCGTTCTCAGGAACGTATTGTATCTATTCATTGAAATAAAACTGTGAATAATATACATATATATATATATATATATATACATATTTATATATCTATATATGCATATACATATTTATCATGATTAATCTTACATAATAATGTACACAAATTGTTTCTTTCTCTTTATTGATTGATTTTCAAAACAATAAATCTTTATATTTGTGAGTAAATCAGTGACTTTTCACTTTTTTTTAAAAAACAATCATCATTGTCCCCAAATGCCCTGGTACGGACGAGAGTGGGGAGGGGCCGCTTTCCCTCTCGAAATGCTCTCACATTGACACGCATATATAGCATCTGCTAGGGAAGTCCTAATCAATGCCTCGTCCTGGCGGTTTTGTTTACAAAATAGAGAGCACGAAAAGCGAATGTCTGGTGATTTAACAGAGTTGGTGGATATGGATGGTCCACCTAGGTTAGTTAGTAAACCCTGATTTCAAACCAATGGTGCACATGGGCTCAACGATCCTGAGAGAACAAATGACGTATGGATCAATCGTTGGTCATCGGTTACCATGAGACTGCACCTCCTCACGATGCTCCACTGCCTTGTGGGTTAGATTTTTAAGTCAAATGCTCAAGCTATAGCTCCCTAAGAAAACCACCTACTTCAGCTTGGGAACCTGGGCGGTATCACAGCCCTCACACAAATCAAATGAGACTTGTGTGGCGCATATATATCTGGTGCCTCTTTGTACCAATATTTATGTGTTTAAATAATAATAAAAGAAATAATCAATAATTCGGTAAATAAATTAACATCGTTTATTAGATGTTCCTGATGAGCCTCAAATAGTATTAAATATACCTCCTGGATTTTAATGTTAGCCATTAATCTGACTTTAAGTAACACTTGCGATTAAGTGACAATATCTATTCAATTCATTCAGGATGTAAATATGTCAAAGGAATAAAATCAATTGTATTCTTTAATATTTCGTGGGTTATACGCACATAAGGAAAGATGGATTGTGGCTAGCAGTAAAATCCAGAACGCGCGTTTTGTCTCATTTGAGACTCTTAAGTCGGATGTATCTGCATCCCAAAGTCGATGTTCACTCTGGGACTTGAACCCAGTACCGTTCGCTTCAAGCTTCATCTTGTTACCCACTTAGCTACTGTGTCATGATAGCCACCTGCTTGTGAAATTGGGTGAATTTTTAAGTTAACTTGGTGTTGTTTACAATAACACCAAGCGTCCTGGGTTTCAATGCTAGCCAAAAACCATATTTGTTTATAAAGCTTGTTACTTAAGGCCACATCGAAGCAGTCCGAACAGGATACACATATACTAACAAGAGACTGATCAATTGCAGTCCTAAATAACAATGGGAAAATGTAGGTACTACAATCATATTGTTTGAAATAAAGATAGTGGTAAGAATTACTTGATTCTTATTGAAATATTTAGCATAATATACGTAGTCATATTTATGCATGCTAGTTTTAAACTTGAATAAGTAATTTCTGAGATAACAATATAAGAGAGGGGGGTTTTGTGGAGATTTTAGTAATTCTAATAGTTAGGATCATGAATCACTCGATGCTAGACCACCATGGAAGACCTGAAAGTACTGGACAGCCGCCTCGTCCTATTGTAGGACTCTTCAACAATACTCATCCACCATCCCACCTTGCGAGATTCGAGGAGTCCCACAATAGAAGGAAACGGAATTCTAGTTCTTCCAGGTTTTTCATGGTGGCCTAGCTTCAATTGACTGATGATTTCAACCATATAGAAAATTACTAAAATCTCAACAAAACCGCCTTCTAATAATGAACATATGCTCACTAGTGACTGGCTCCATGAGGTATTTTCTGGAGTTCTAGTGAGAAGCAGTAACCAGTGGAGTTCAACTAGGTCTGTTGGAAAACAGCAACTCATTGAAGACATTGGTGGATGTGTCGCTCAACTTCGTAGATTGGTTAAGGTTAGACATTAGCACCGTTGAATGCTCCTCAGTGGTCTAGTGGTTAAGGTCACGCGCGTAAGACTGATAAGTCCTGGGTTTGAATCTCCCGAGGCAGGATCGAAGATGCATACTGCTGAGGAGTCCTATAATAGAACGAAACGGCCATCCAGTACTTCCAGGTTTTCCATGGTGGTCTAGCTTCAACTGATTCATGATTTCAACTATATAAAACATATATGAATCTATTGTATATATATATATATATATATATATATATATATATATATATATATATATATATATATATATATATATTAACCACACTATCATTCTTAATTGTGACAATTTTTTGAATACTGATTTAATCAAAAGTTCTGACAAGAAGACAAGTAGACAGTTTTTGATTTGGACTAGAAAAGATAGATAAATGTGGAAGACAGTAACAGATTAATTCTTTTACTATATACATATATATATATATATATACAATACATACATAGATATATACAGATGGTTTATGCCTATTATTACTATTTCATGATAAATACATTCTGCTATTATCAGACTTAAAGTAAAATGGAAAAAATCATATAACAAACAAACAGAAAAAAAATTATTTTGTTTGTTGACAGGTTTAATCATCATTGACAGTTTGATGAGTTTTATGCATGAATAAAAATGATTGTTTACAATCCTTTTATACGTATGTATCTATGTATGTATGTATGTATGTATGTATGTATGTATGTATGTATGTATGTATTTTACATGTAATTCTGTATAGGTATATTGGTTTAGTAACAGAATTGATCATCCCTATTTCAATAGTTTGTTTTTTAACGAACAAATTTTACAAGTCAATGAGGCAAACAACAAATTGTTGTAGTCTAGATGAAGAAAAAATTTTTTTTTCTTATTCTCAACAATTTGAAATGTTTACTGACTAGCATTGTTTAAGTTTTGGAGTTGAACCAATTCCACAAATATATATCTATAAACATATATGTAGAAGAGAATAAATGACAGTTATAGTCAAAACTATATGAATAATGCTTATACAATGGTTTATGTATACTTAATGAAAATGTCCAATATATGACAATGATATGTAATAGATTATGATCTAAGTTTTTCTTTTCTTTAGTGACAAGCTTTAAATATGTCAAAATGAATTTCACTTTACTAAAGAGAATACTATTTAATATAAATGAATATTTGTAGTTTATATCACTTAAATAAACAATGTTTAATTAATGGATTTTCATAAGTCAGTAACTATCTAGATTCAGTAATTAAGTAGATAACTCGATAGCGAAAGGTACTAGGTTCGAGTTCCAAAGTGGATATCATCTCTGGGATGCAGATACATAGAGCTGTCAAGTTTAAAACAAGACGAAACGAAAATAATGTATTTCACTACTAATCACCGCCAATCTATGTTTATAGGTTTAGTTAGTTTATTGTAAAATTAGGTTTGAAGTATATGCATCCCTAAGATAATTATTTCTTAAAGAGACGCTAACAGCAGATTTGTTTTAATCCATAGACATTTTACGAATTGCATTAAACAGTAATCAGCTATGTAATCTAGGTTTCATTTCACTCTTCCAGGAATTCAGCAGTCAAGTGTATTGAATGTTAGAACAGTAAAATATTTACTATAGGATTGTGGAGATTTCTGTGCTTTTTATCGAAATTATAGACCGATCAATTAAAACCTTAAAGCACTGGACAAATGTTTCATCGAAGTATGAAACTTCTCAGTATCTACAATCCCGTATGCAAGACTTAAGCCTAGGAGCTTGGGGCTCATGCGATTGCTTAACCTCTAGACTATTAAAACGGAATCTAAAAGCATTGATGTATAACTACAACCATAAAAATAAATTGCTATTTTATTTTGACAAAAACAACAGTAATTTTATAGAGTTGAGATCATCAGTCGATTGAAGCTAGACCACCAAGGAAAACTTGGAAACACTGGACGGCCAAATCGTCCTATTATTGGACTCCTCAGATTGCGCATCCACGATCCCGCCTCACTAGATTCGAATCCTGGACCTACCAGTCTCGCGCCAGAGCACTTAACAGATAGACCACTGAGTTGGCCGGCATCCAAAGGTTTTAATGTCTAACTTCGAACAATCCACAAAGTTGAGCAACCATTTCACCAATGTCTTCAATGAGTTACTATCTCACAACAGACCTGGTTGAAATCCACTGCTTCTCACTAAAACTCCAGGAAATACCTCATTGAGCCAGCCACTTGTGAGCATATGCTGAGGAGTCCCATAATAGGATGAAACGGCCGTCACGCTTCTAGGTTTTCCATGTTGGTCTAGCTTCGATTGACTTATAATCTCAACTCTATAAAATTACTAAAATCTCCACAGAAAACCCCTTCTGAAAAAATAACAGTACCTAATAAAATAATAAATAAACAAATTATATACACACTCTACTAATTATTTCAATCCATTATCATCTTCATAAAACATGTACAATTTTAGTGTCTATAGCGAACTGAATTCTCGTTGTTGTTGTCCTCTTTTTTCTTCATTTAAACCCACTTGTTAATATCCAGTCCCTATTCTTTTTTCTACACACAAGTATTTATTGTTCACCTGTTTAATAGTTGTCAATGAATAAGAGAATATTTTATGCTTTAAAAAAAACAAAAAAATAAAAACAAAAATACAAAAACAAAACAAAAAAACACTTAGAGTACATGTCTGAAATGGAAATAATTTTTTTTTTAAATAAAATAAAATTACACTTCAATAGAGAGGAAAAACAAACAACCAACCAAACAAACAAACCATTTAATTCCTATCCATATATGTACTATTCATTTAAGAGAGATTTCATTTAAGTCGTGTGTTGGTTTTTTTCTTTTTTCCACTTATAACTTTTCTCTTTTTGAATATTTTTCTTTTTGTAACTGATCCAAGTCAATTTGTTTGCTTGTTTTTAATAAAATGACGAGACAATTAATGAATGAATGAAAAAAATTCTACTTGAGTTGACAGAAATTCATACTTCTAATATAAATAGTATAATTATGTTTTATTAGCCTAGCAACTATATGTCAAATTGTTGTTTCTATTCATTAGTCTAATCTGGTATATACCCTATAAGATAAGAGGAAAGAAAATAAATCAACATATGCAAAACGCTGGTTATTAAAGCATATTTCTTAATGTATAAATTTATGAACTATGTAAACAACAGATCTGTAAGTAAAAGGAAATCATATTGAATTTAATGAAACAATATCCCTACAGGTAAGTTTACTATGACAAACGGAAATATCTTGTAACTTTAAAAATAAATTTATTTGAATATTAATAATTAGATATCAGTGAGAAGTAACCACCTCCATTGCCGTATAAAAGTGATCCCCAAATGCCCTGGTACGGCCGACAGTGAAGAGAGTACACTCCCCCTCTCGAAATGCTCTCATATGACCACGTGTATATAGCCTCTGTCACAGAAGTCCTATTCACTGCCTTCTCGTGGCATTACTGTTGTTTACGAAATGAATAGGACGAAAAGCGAATGTCCGGCAGGAGCTTTAACCGGTTTGGTGGACATGGAAAGTTCACCTAGGGGAGTTGAAAAACCCTGATTCAAAACCAATGGTGCACATGGAATCCAGTATCCTGAGGGAACAAATCGCGTATGAATCAAATGTTGGTCACCATCTACCATGAGACTGCATCTCCTTACGATGCTCCACTGCCTTATGGATCGGGCCTTTAGGTCAAGCGCTCCGAGTGTGGTCCCCTAAGAAAACCACCTGCTTCAGTCTGGGCACCTGGACAGTATCACAGCCCCCACACAAATCGAATGAGATTTGTGAGGCGCATATTTATCTGGTGCTTTTTTGTACAAATATTTATGTGTTCAAACAAACAAAGAATATTAATAATGAATAAAGATTGAATAGAATGGATTAACAGGAAGTCTTTTTATTTTGTTAATTAATTTTAATCTGTTACATCTCGTTAAATAAATAAATTGATAGACATTAAGTAATAATGCTTTTTTGTTAGTGTGAATAAATTCAACTAGTTATAAGTTTGACGGTCAGAAATTATTGTCATTTCCAGTCACTTCTCTCCTAAGATGATTATCTTATTTGCTAGTCTCTTTTTCACTAATCCTATGCATATAATCAAATGTATCATTCCGCTTTATCATGACTGTCATCTTTTGATCTTTATCAACATACATTCAATCCTATTTAATGGAGACAGTTTTCACATCAAGCATCTTCAAAATTATAATCATAAAACATGTTCATCACCATTCAATTGTAATTGTTTAAATTAATGTTAATAAAACGTTATTTCTAAGAAAAATTGATGAGACTATAATTTATGGACGAACCAATCAGATTTTAGATGGCACGTCTTTGATTTTGGCACGGAATACATTCACTCATTTGGCTTAATACCATTTTTTCATTGTAGCTGATGTCAGTTCATTATGAAAACATTAATTCTAATTCCTAAATCTGACATTCAACTGTAAATCCTTTTCGTAATTCCTCACACTAATCGATAACGCTCATTTAACCCCGGTAAATAGGTGGACATTCCAAGGTCATTTTAACGTTGCTCAAGGGTCGTCCATGAATTATAGTCTTATCGAAAGATTAAATTCAGATGGCGATCAACTATGATGCATTGTTTTGATAGATTGAACACAGTGTACATGTCAACTTCGACTTAATATCGGACAAATAAAAATTGATAATATAAAGTTGGCTCTATAAGATATCTTCACAATACATACATACACCTGTTACCCCTTGTGGAGGAGCATAGGCCACCCACAAAGATTCTCCAACTAACCTTGTCCTGAGCAATAATTTCCAGTAGTTTCCATTTGTTATTCATTCCTCAGAATAGCTATCTAATTATTGTAGAGAGATAATAAATGATATTAATCAACTATTTATCTACTCTGTCTCTATATAAGTCATCAATGATATGAGTAAGGCATATTTACAAACAATAAATATTTCGTTATTTATTTCACCTGTAAAGAAATTGATAACTGAGTAGTTTTGAAGTGAACTGGTAAATTTAAACATCAATAAAAGTAAAACAATGTAACTGTCTTTAAAGACTTGTCGACAAAATCTGAAAATAATTACTGTAAGATCCAAACCTAGATTCCATTAGGTCTGGATGTGGCCGAATAACCGATGAATAGTTTATACACTTGTGCCCCAGTCGAAATCAAAACAAGGTATTTTGGGTGACACGTAAGAATTGCTAGTCTGGCATTTTCTACTGAACGCGGCATTTGAGGATGAGAAAAGTCCTTGTCAACAATTACACCTTTCACCAACAATGAATCTTCAAGTCTACCACCAACTTTTCCCTCAACTTTGATGAGTTCAAAATCCACATCACGACGTGTCAAGTCAGCGACTGATAAAACGGCATCGACTGCCATTTCGGCAAACATTCTTTGGCAACGGTTGACAATTTTCGACCCAAGAGTGGTCATAGCAGTTTTCATGAGGGGTTCTCGATTTTCGACAGAAAATTCGAATTGAACACTGATCTCTTCTAGGGTGGAAAGGCAATGTTTTGCAGCTAGTTCGTAGCCATCTGCTATGCGAATTGGATGAAGACCTTTGTCAAGTAATTGTTCAGCCTGTTCTAGAAGTGCACATGAGAGGACAACAACACCCGTAGTACCGTCTCCTATCTCATCATCTTGAGACCTATTAAGTTGAACAAGTAATTTGGAAATTTCATGCTCCACATCCATTTTATCGAGAATTGTTCGCCCATCGTTAGTAACCGTTACATCTCCATCCGGACTAACAAGAAGTTTGTCTAAACCCTTAGGACCCAAAGATGTTCTTAGAGTCCCTGCGACTGTTTTCGCTGCCATTATGTGTGACTTGTGTGCCTGTATACCACATAGGCGCTTCTTTTTCTCTTGATCTCTTAATATGATAAACGGCCGTCCATATTCATCGAAAGCTAGCTGTTCTTGTGCTCTCCCTGGGAATGTTGCCATGGTATTGGAACTACGAAGTGACCACCATCGAAGAAGGTACCAATTTCCACTATTTCTATTGCTGCTCGATCCTCTACTGACGGCGATTTATCGCTTGAATATACATCAGCAAATTCTACGTCATAAAGCTTACGGAATCGATCTTCTATTGTCTGCAGCTTACTCATGCAATTACTAACTCTTTTCTTCGATCCCGAAAATGATGCAGGTCCAAATACGGTCCACCCGAGCAACGTTTTTACTGCATACGGATTTTTTCTACTACCTAACCGTTGATCGAGTACCCAGTGGGCTTCCGGAACATCACAACCAATCAGCAATACAACTTCGCCAGAATCTATGAACTCTAATGGTACATCACTCAAATGCGGCCACTTCACTATGCCACTCATAACTGATTTCGTCGGTTTATGCCCAGGTATTTGCGACACTACCAGGGCTCCCTCAATCTTGACGTGCTCAGATTGATCTAAGGAGTACACTTCAAAAGGTGTAATCCTTTATACTTTGAATATGTTCAATTTTTTTTTCTTGAATTATTAGTCAATAGATCCAGTATATTTATAAATTCTATGGTCTTTATATCTGAGATTCGTATTTAACATATTTATTCATCGTTGGATACTGATGTACCAAAGTTTATGAGAAAGTTATTCATAAATTCTTACAGTGAAAATTGCAATTTCCATTTTAATCGTTTTTTCTTCTATTTGTAGACTGATTACATCACAGTTTGACTTTATACATATATCTAGTAGAGACCAAGATACACTACGAAACCTTTCTTATTATTGCATGCTAAATAAATATAAGTAGTATGTAACACCACCCAGAACTGGAATGCCTGGCAACAGAAGATTGAATTGAACAGAATAGGAATATAAACAGAGAGTAATTGTAATAACAACAGAATTGAAAGAATCATGAAGCATGTAAAGAACAATGGAAGGAAGATGTGCAAATAATGTATTTGATGTATGGTTTTCATATTTTATGAAAGCACAATACAGTTATGCATATTATAATAGATTAGTTATCATTCACTACACTTTGACTCTGTCAATGTTCACATCCAAGACATGGTATTGACATTCATTGATGTACATTTCCAACTTCAACTGATTTACAATATCTTATAACATTATCATGTTTCCAATTCATTTATGTTTTTTAGGTTAGTTAAAGTTTTGTTTGAATGGTCTTGTTCTAGTTTCAAAAAAAAAAACACAAAAAACATACCTATTTTATCTTGAATAATTTCATGCTTTATATTAAATAATGAAAATACTAGTTTCAAAGTTCCATACAGAAAAGAAAAGAAACTTAATTTACTATTTCCTTTCTGTCACCTTAGTGATCCGCAGATTTTATAATCTTTATTTGACAGGACATGTATACAGTAGTATTAAAACAGATTACATATGTCCTGACATGAATTATATGCATACATATATATATATACTAGAGTTAGTCAAAAGAAAAAAAATAGTCTGGTCACTTGTATACATCTAGTCACTAGTCTAATATGTCACTTCACTTATACATTGAACATGGCATTGTCTAGTGACTATTTCATATTCTATACTAATAAAAAAATGCGATAAACTTGAATTTTTCTGACAATCATGACACTTTATGTCACTATTAATCTCTTACATGTTATAAACCACACATATTGTGTTTAAGCCTATATATGTATATAAAGCTTTATTCAACCGATTAATCAAGTCTATTCATAATACTAGAAATCATTGGCAATCTACATGTAGACGTCATGGTTGACTTCAAAATCATAATATTCATAATAATGACATTACTCAATGAAACAAAAAATGACCTAAATTATTAAACTATTTACTAGTCTATTGACAAGTCTATATAAAGATTGACAGTTGATCATTTTGTTTATATATACACATGTATTTTTTCTATTGACCATCTAAATGGTAAATGCTTATGATTGTTATTTTTTGGTGGTGTGAGGGGGGGGTGAAACAAAACGTTATGCTTACATGTGTATAGTAGAAGTTATCAGATTGTAACTTATTATAAGTCAATTCATTTTATTAGAAATGATGAAAGTTAATTGACTTGGTTACAAAAAGAAATAGTTTCTACCTGAATATGAGTGATTTGTATTTATAATTTATATTTGGTTAATTCTACTTCATTTTCATAATAGATATTATGATGAACGTAACTTATATACGTTTTGGTATACCAAATGGAATCATGTAATAATATTAAATACAGTTGGAACTCAAAACAATTGTCAATCAACACCAAAATCAGAATTTTCAATACGATTATCAAGACAGTTCTACTGTATGGGTCGAAAACCTGGAGAACTACGAAAGCCATCATCCAGAAGATACAAGTGTTTATTAACAGTTGTCTATGCAAAATACTTCGGATCCGTTGGCCAGACACTATCAGCAACATTCTACCGTAGGAGAGAACAAACCAGATTCCATCCAGTGGAGGAATAAATCACGAAGAAGTGCTGGAAGTGGATAGGACACATATTGAGAAAATCACCCAACTGCGTCACAAGACAAACTCTTACATGAAATCCTGAAGGCCAAAGGAAAAGAGGTAGATCAAAGAACATATTACGACGACAAATGCAGACGGACATGAGAAGTATGAACGAAAATTGGATAGAACTAGAAAAGAAGGCCCAGGACAAAGTGTGTTGGAGAATGTTGGTCGGTGGCCTATGCTCCATTGGGTGTAACACGCGTAAGTAAGTACAATTGTGATTTCGATATTTCATCAAGTTTGAAACAGTTGTACTTTATTTGTCATTTCTTAGTTTAAACTGACATCATGAATGGATCAATGTTAGACCATCATTGAAAACCTGGAAGCACTGTACAACCATTTCATCCTAGTATGGGACTCCAATGTGCGAAATAGTAGGTATGCACTCCATGCAATCACTAAGACATATACAGTTAAAAGGTAATGTAAAAAAGTATGGAATTTACCAGTGGTTAAACTAATCAAGAGTGTAATATATTCGAATAATTTCTATCTTGATTGTTGTGATTTATAATCGAATGTTGATTCCAACTTAGATTTAAAGAGATTTGAATCGGTTAAGGGCTTCGGCTCGAGACTGGAAGGTCCTGGGTTCGAATCTCGCGAGAGCGGGTTCGTGGATGCGCACTGCTGAGGAGTCCCATAATTGGACGAACCGGCCGTCCAGTGCTTCCAGGTTTTCGATGATGGTCTAGCTTCAATTGACTCATGATATATATATATATATATATATATATATATATATATATATATATATATATTAGTAAGTGCATATGCTCCATTAGGAATAACAGGCGTAAGTAAGTAAATATATTACAATATGCTTGGCATCAATTAAACTAGATAAAAAGGGTTTAGACTCTATTGGTTTGCAAGAGATTCATTGAATTCATTATTTTCATAAATTCACTTTCTATTGTTTGTTTAAATCTTTCCATTGATGTTTAGAACTGAAATTGTTCAGTCTCTTATTAGTATATGTGCGGATTACCTCGATATTGCCTTCATTTACAGGCATTACAAGTAAAGATGGATTGTGGATAACAGTAGAATTCAGGATGCACATTTTGTGCTATTTAAGACTCATCAACCGGATCTACTTACATCCTAAAGTTGATGTTCATTGTGGGATTCGAAGTCAGTGTCATTCGCTTGAAACTCCATCACATTATCCACTTATTAACTGAGTTCAGATAGCTACTACCTTGTGCAATGAAATAAAGTATTACTGAATTCATTAAATCCATTATTTTTATGTTACAATATTCAATTTAACACGAATCATTGAGATTTCTTATTACAATTATTTTATTTTTTTTGTATATTTTTTTCATTAAAATTAATAAACAAAACATAATTAAAATGAAATTAGATTTTACATAGAATTTGATTAATCCGAAAAATTGTTGATCATACACACACACACACATATACACACACATACATAGAAACTTCATTATTTATCACTAAAATAAGATCTTAATGATGTAATGTTCATTATTTCAATTAATATTACCCCCTTTCATTTAACAATGAGAAAAAAAAACTATACATAATAAATGAGACAGAAGTTACTTAATTATTTTTTTAAAAATATACATGATACTACTTATACTACTTACATTCGTAGGATTAATGAACTTATCTAATTTAACATCTATCTATCTATCTATCTATCTATCTATTGATAACTACTAATTAATTTTATTATCATTATGAGTAATAATAAATTATAGTTATATATATTTATTTATTAAAAGAAAATTGAAAAAAAAATTGAAAAAATTCCGTTTTGATCCTTGCCGATCATTAAAATAATAAAATACCGTGTGTAACTATAGTAAATTAAAGTACCCTCTAGTTAATATATCTAAATAGGTATATATATATATATATATATATATATATATATATATATATAATATTCAGTAGTATATGTTAAAATTGAGTAAAAAAGAAAATGACTAACTAAACTAGAATTATAACTAACTATTTATTTATCGTATCTTTCTCATACAATAAATTTAACACAACGAAAAAAAATTTATCTCTTCTTTTTACTTTTCGGCAAATGTGGTTTAAGTCTACCCCTCTCCCCTCTTTCAGTTAAACTATATAAATAAACTTACTAAGTGAACAAGGCGCCAATAGTTAGAGAAGAAAAAAAAGAGAGGGAGGTGAACTATATTTAATATAAATATATGCAGGTATATATATATATATAGAGAGAGAGAGAGAGAGAGAGATTTATGTATATATATCAATGAAAACTGAATGAAATCCTGACGCCTATTGATAAATTAGTTTTTCGTCAGTATTCCAGGTCA